GTGATAAACAATTTAAAACAGAGGTATGCATAGTTCTGTAATCTTCCTAACTAAACTATGATCTGTTTTTAGCATCACCAAAGGTTATGGATTGTTTAATATTTTCTTGACATGAAAGGTTGATCTTCTTCTAAGAGTTCACCATACCAATTTGGTGAGCCTCGTCGGTTATTGCTATGAAGGAGATCACTTGGCCCTCGTCTATGAGTTTCTGCCCAATGGTGACTTGAAACAACATTTGTCAGGTGATATTTTTATAGTGATTTCACGTGTAGCATTAACTCATAAAACCCGAAAAACTCGAATGGATCTAACGATTTAATATACAGGAAAAGGAGGTAGATCCATCATCAACTGGAGTACTCGATTACATATAGCCTTGGAGGCAGCACTAGGTTTGTAATAAGTTAAGAACCGTAGAACAAGACATCAATGTAATTAGGTTTTACAATAGATTAGTTGATATAGATGACTCCACTGCATAGGATTGGAGTATTTGCACATTGGATGCACACCGCCGATGGTTCATAGAGATGTCAAAACTGCCAACATTTTGCTAGACGAGAACTTCAAGGCCAAAATAGCTGATTTTGGGCTCTCGAGATCTTTCCAAGGTAGAGACGAATCTCAGGATGTGACGGTGGTTGCTGGTACTCGTGGATACCTTGATCCCGAGTAAGTATTATTAGTTTTCATTTTTTCATATACACACAGAAACACTTGTTCTGGAACGTTATATTTCTACTTCAGTGGTTAAAGAGTATATACCTTGTTGTTGTCTTGTAGATATTACCGTACAAGTCGGTTGTTTGAGAAGAGTGATGTCTACAGTTTCGGAATCGTGTTATTGGAGATGATCACAAACCAACCCCCTGAAAGTTCCCACATAACACAATGGGTTGGCTTTAACCTTAACCGAGGTGATATTATTGAGATTATGGATCCAAACCTTCGCAAGGATTATGACTCTAATTCTGCTTGGAGAGCCCTAGAGCTGGCAATGTCATGCGCGGATCCTTCTTCCTCAAAACGACCATCCATGTCTCAGGTTATTAACGAGCTAAAAGAGTGTATCGTGTGTGAAAACTCGAGATAAGCAAGAATCAAGGCTTGGAATCTCAAGAAATGAACATCAGCTTGGACACTTCGGTGGTCCCTGTGGCAAGATAGTTTTGAGTGTTGTCTACTTGTGTTATCAGTAATGCAACCAGTGATCAGTTATATAACTATTAGGTATCTCTTCTATTGTACTCTGTTTTGCTCTGCTTGTTTCACTCCTCTGATTGGGAAACAAAATTGCCTTAGCCCATGATCGTGTACTACTATCATAGGAATTAAACAAAAAAGATCTTTGTTTTGAGAGCAGTCAAACAAAGAAATAAAATTCTTGTTAGACTTTGTCTTAGATAATTGATCCTCTTTTGATGTAACAATTTATTGCTTAACGTGCTTCTTGGTCTGTTCCATATTTTCTATTAATAATAGTTATGTTGAGACA